TCCTCAGTCCTAGGCCCAGTTCCACAACTTGCTTTAAACTCCGTTTAAAGCAAGTTATGGAACTGGGCCCTAGTGTCCAGTTGGCTGGAAATTGTTTTCAAGTTTATAGCCTGACTCGCCTTACACTTGAAGTGTATAAAACCATATGTTTAACATGCTGGACGTAGAATTTTACACACTTCAAGTATAAGGAGATTCAGGCTATAAACTTGAAAAAAATTCCCAGCCGACTGGATACCAGGACTGAAGAGAATGTATATATTAATACTAATGCAAACATCTTCCAGTTTCAAAAGGTTTTATTTATTTCGAATAAAGATACATAAAAAAGTATATGAACAAAACAAAACAAAGTTTGTTATACTTATAATAATAATGAATAATTCCAAATAATGAATAATTGAACAGAAAAATATGACTTAAGATTCATATATTTTAATCAATTATTGAACACAAAAGCATAACTTGAGACTCATATAAAGGTAAACGTCCCAGTGATTAAAAACCAAACAAACTAACCTTTTTTAAAAAAAAAGGTAAAAAAAACTGGCGCCAAGTTCATGCGCTTTATGTGGAACCATTTTACATTTACAAGAGCAAATGTTTTTATAAAAAATGTTTTATTTACAAAATAACTAATCTAAAAATGTTACAAAAAATAACAAATATTATTATTAAAACTATTTTCTATTAAAAAAGTATCAGATAGATAGGCTAAATAAAAATGAATTATACAAAATATAACAAAAAATGAGCTAAATAAAACTAATTTGAAATAAAAAGATATCCCAATCTAAAAAAGAGTTGGATACATTAAGTATAATGTTATTATATTATAAACAAACTAAAATAACTTATATATTAAGTAAAATGTTATAATAAATTGTAATAAAAAGTAGTGAAATCAAAACCTTGCGCCAACTGATAACGAGAAAATATATAAAACATAGTTAACGTTAAAACAAAGAAATAATTTGGAGCAAAGATATTACATTCTTGATGTTTCCTTTTGACACGAATAATGACAAAATTTTTATTTTGTAAGTAAGAATAAAAAAATTTTATTACACAAAAAATTAGTTACACAAAAAATTAGTACAAAAAAAATAAAATTAAAATTTACACAAAAAACACTTGGCGTGCCTATGTCGCATAATTTATAATGATAATGAATATTTCTAGAAAGTTAATATCTGAAACTTTATAATATACAGGCACATTATTATAAATATTATATAAGCAAAAGGCACGCTAAGTATTTTTTGTGTAAATTGTAATTTTATTTTTTTTTACTAATTTTTTGTGTAATAAAATTTTTTTATTCTTGCTTACAAAATAAAAATTTTGTCATTATTCGTGTCAAAAGGAAACATCAAGAATGTAATATCTCTGCTCCAAATTATTTCTTTGTTTTAACGTTAACTATGTTTTATATATTTTCTCGTTATCAGTTGGCGTAAGGTTTTGATTTCACTACTTTTTATTACAATTTATTATAACATTTTACTTAATATATAAGTTATTTTAGTTTGTTTATAATATAATAACATTATACTTAATGTATCCAACTCTTTTTTAGATTGGGATATCTTTTTATTTCAAATTAGTTTTATTTAGCTCATTTTTTGTTATATTTTGTATAATTTATTTTTATTTGGCCTATCTATCTGATACTTTTTTAATAGAAAATAGTTTTAATAATAACATTTGATATTTTTTGTAACATTTTTAGATTAGTTATTTTGTAAATAAAACATTTTTTATAAAAACATTTGCTCTTGTAAATGTAAAATGGTTCCACATAAAGCGCGTGAACTTGGCGCCGGTTTTTTCACCATTTTTTTTAAAAAAGGTTTGTTTGCTTGGATATCACATCTTTTTCATAAGAATAATATATCAAGTAATCTTTTATATCAATAATAATTTAATTTTAAATAAATAATTTATACAAATATAGGAAAACATTTTACATAAATTTGACATAGATTAATATATGTAAATTTAGTTAGATAGAGAAAATGTTAATTAGATTTATTCATTATCACGAAAAGTAGAAAAAGTCTCACCACCACCCCCGTCGTATTTTATTGATATATGATACAACAGTATACGGCGGTCGTTCTTCTTAATCTTATTATAACATGTTATTTACTATATTTATATATTTATTTACAATTTGTTAGAAGAAAATTATTATTCAATATCAACTTTCTGCAAAAAAAGTATATAAATGTCCTTAGAACCTTTTGGCCATCGCCTCTTTTTAATTTGCATATCATCAGCTTCGATCCACACATTAGAAGTACCCTCTCTACATATACTTGTATAATGACCATTATTGATACTTGATCCATGGTGAAATATGGCATTCATGACCTTATAAAATTGTCTAAAATTTATTAATACTTTAGTTGTTGAAACAGCACATAAATTAATATTATGTATTTTCATTAATTTTCCATCCTGTAATGAAAATATACGTATAACAATTATTTTTTGAGTTAATATTAATTCATTTTTAACCAACATATCGCTTTGTGTACAACATTCACATAATTCATTAAACGATTGATGCCAATGTGAAAACGTAGCATTTATAAAATCTTGAAGCTTATAACTTTTCTTCTTCAAATCATTAATAAAAATTGAAATAATTATGTTATTATTTGTAGTACACTTTACATTATCACAGGATTTGCACCGACTTATAGTATTTACATTATATTCTAGTAAACATTTTATACAGGGTGCACGATTTATCTGAAGACATTGAAATATCTCGAGAACTATGCATTGGATAAAAAAAGTGGTTAATGAAAGTTGTTAGTCTCGAAGGGGGACATCCAATGATATTAAACTTGACTTCCCACCCCACCCCCTGGCGGTGGGGGTTGGGGCAACTTTGAAATCTTAAATGGAAACCCCCATTTTTTATTGCAGATACGGATTCCACGCCACAAAATACATAAATTTTGTCGGAAACTTTTTTTTTATTCGTGACAGATGGCGCTGTAATCGCAAAAAGTTATATTTTCCGTAATTCTCCAGAAATGATCATTGGATTGAGACATAAAAAATACCTGTTCAATATTTTTAAAGAACATAATAAAAGTTATTCCCCCCCCATCATTTCGGGGTAGGGTGGGTGATAACGTTCAAATCTCAAATGGGGACCCACATTTTTCATTGCAGAATTAGATTGTACGTGAAATTTTTATTGAAACAATTTTTTTCATTCGTGATAGATAGCGTTGAAGTTTTCCGAGAAACTACTTTTAGCGTTACACAGGAACAACGACGAGGACGTAGTAGTTTTATGTTCCCTTCGGGTGCTTTTTTAATGTGAGTCCCCTTGCCTCTCACAGATCGGGGTGCTTTTTTAATGTGAGTCCCCTTGCCTCTCACTGTTCAATTAATTAGAATAAGTGTTCGAAATTTTTACCTTCAACTTCAATACACTTATTGATCCTTTTTTCAAATGACTGTACACAGGATAGAAGCATATCTGCGGGAGTTTCAGCGCAAGCGTTTCTTATGTGTTCTACCATGTTTTCACGACTTGTTGGCACTTATTGATAAACCTTATCTTTTAGGTAACCCCACAGAAAGAAATCTGGCGATGTCAAATCGGGCGACCTAGCAGGCCAATTAATCGGGCCACCTCTGCCAATCCACCGACCATTGTAATCACGGTCTAATACTTCCCGTGCTGCTATTGAGTTATGCGCTGGGCAACCGTCATGCAGATTTGAACGTTACCACCGACCTTACCCCGAGAGGATGGGGGGGGAATAATTTTTATTATGTTCTTTAAAAATATTGAACAGGTATTTTTTATTTCTCAATCCAATGATCATTTCTGGAGAATTACGGAAAATATAATTTTTTGCGATTACAGCGCCATCTGTCACGAATCAAAAAAAAAGTTTCGGACAAAATTTATGTATTTTGTGGTGTGGAATCCGTATCTGCAATAAAAAATGGGAGTTTCCATTTAAGATTTCAAAGTTGCCCCCAAACCCCCACCCCCAGGGGGTGGGGTGGGAGGTCGAGTTTGGTATCATTGGATGTCCCCCTTCGAGCCTAACAACTTTCATTAACCACTTTTTTTCATCCAATGCATAGTTTTCGAAATATTTCAATGTCTTCAGATAAATCGTGCACCCTGTATATATATATATGTCAATAGCTACGGTAGCTAACTAAAAAATTGTCTTAAGGCTCCTGTTTCTTCGCCGCGGTGATTTATGACATTAACAGAAAAAGTATGCTAGAAATTGTTGCGAAATACTTTGAAATCAAGAGATAAAGTGATCCATAAAATGATACTTGTAATCGAGCATATTTGTAAAGTAATCGAAATATTTTCCTTTTGTGCTAATAATTAATAAATGAATGTACAATTAAAGTGATATCGAATCATGGGAAAAAAATATTAAAAATAAAAGTTGTTTGTTATGTTTTTACGGTATATTATTGATTGTTACAGCAAACTGAAAATGTTTGAACTATTTGACAAACCCTCTCGATCGATTGTATCACTTTATAAATATCTTATTATTTCAATGCATTTCGCAAGAATTTTAGGAACGCGTTTTCTTACTTCTGATTTATTGATCAAGAATTCCGCAACGAGTGAAGCTTTAGGAAAGTTTCTAAAAAATACTTCCCAGAATATAAGTTTTAATCGGGCTTAGGCCGGCGGCACACGGAGCGTTTTTGGCTGCTGGATTGCTTGCGTACTCCTGTGCTGGAAATATTCTCAGCTGTTTTGCTGGAAATTATGCAGTCATTTCTAAATTACTATCAGAGATATTAGAACTTATTTCATATGTTTCTTCAACATTAGTTGCAGTTTTTTTAATATAATCATTATCACTACATAAAAAATTAGAATGACAATCTACTTTATGATGTAAATCGAAGTTAATATTTATAGTTGAACTATTTTCAACATTGCTCGAATGAGGTACAATTAATTCGCTATGATTAGTTTTACATTTTACTGATTCTACTTTTCTAGACAGGAAGGAACTACTATGATGTGCCAGTTCATTGTTAATTAACTGAAATCTTCTTCTTTTAGACAATAAATATAGCTGTTTTGGCATCCTTTTTTTCTGTAACAAAAATGTCACATACTTTATCAGAATTTGCTTAATATTATATTCCCAGATAGCATAGAGAATTCCAAAAGAATTCAGTCGTATGTCAGTAATTATAAGTTCATTTCCAGATTAAAAAATAATTCTTTTCGGTACAATTCTCCGAAAAGAATTATTTTTGCATCTGAAAATGAACTCATAATTACTGACAACGACTGAATTCTTTTGGAATTCTTTTTCAACTATCTGTGCCATCTGGGTTTTTATATATACTGAAAGAGCTAACTTTTTCTAATATGCTAAATAAAATAAAATATCTATTGATACTAGTTCATGCTCAAATTAATAAGGTTTAATCGATGGTCGTGCAAGTAGGTAATTTTATAGCGCTGTAATAAAATAATAATAATTTTAACATAATTACTTTATTTTATCTCTCTTGTTGATGCAGTCGTAAATGTTTCAATGTGACTACGCAAGATCCTCTCTCCTTCTTCACCCTCCTCTTGGTGTGAAAAAAATGAGACCATAGGAAGCGACGAGAAACTGTATGTCCCACAGAATGTATCTTCACAGCTTATCGTCTTCTTCTTCTTCTCTTTCCTTGTTTTATGCTGACGGGAAGGTCTGACTGACAGAATTCCGTAACACCACTTACTACGTTAAATAATAGTGAATCAAATATATTATATTTGGAGAAAATGCAAATAGAATTCCAAAAAATAATATATATATATGTACAATATATATAGGTTAAGTGTGAATTTATACCTTTCTTTCCGAAGGTTAGAGCTCGTTGTCCTTTCTCTCCCTTGACAACAGGACAAATCTACAAAGGTCACGTCGAATTTCGCTCTGAATTCCGGACACGTGTTAGCGAACGCAACATAAGAACAATAACGTGCTTCCTTCCTTTCTCGTAGTGAATATCGGAACACGACAATAGTCCGTTATGACTTCTGTTACACACAGGATACGGAAACTCTTGCCGCGTGTCACTCACGACGCAATACGGGAAGCCAGCGTGACCGATCACAGGTCATTCCGCGAATGGCGCGAAATGAAAGAAATAGTTGTGATTGGTCGCGCTGGCTTCGCGCGTTCTGTTCCGCTGAGAATTTCCATGCTATGAGACGCTGACTTCAGGAAAACAGAATTAGCGCCGAAAAAAAGAGAAATGGCTATGATTAGTTACGCTGACTCAGAGCGTACCGTTCCGCTGAGAATTTCCACTCTATCGTTCTTATAATTGGTTATTAACTTTTTATTTCTAGGTTTATATAGCAATAACTGAATGTGTTGACTGAGCAGTTATGTAGAGAAAAACATCAAAATTACATAATTGTAATGTAACTGTTATAACATATTCGTTATATAACTTGTTATTTCCAAGTTATATAGCAGCAACTAAATGTGTTGACTGTGGCAGTTATGTACAAAAAGACAGGAAAATTACAAAAATGTTCTGTAACAGTTATAACATATTCGTTATATAACTTGTTATTTTGAAAGTGTATAGCAGCAATTAAATGTGTTGACTGTGGTAGTTATATACAAAAAGACAGAGAAATTACATAAATGTTGTATAATTATTATAATATATTCGTTATATAACTTGTTATTTCCAAGTTATATAGCAGTAACAAATTATGTCGACTGGGTTGGGACTTGTACATGTCGTAATTAATGTTTGCACAGTTTGCTGTGCGTGGAGGCCACCAACATTTCTGAACACCCTTGTCTTTAAACAGCCAGGCTGTTGGAATTTCAGAATATGTAAAATCCGATAAAAATTTTACAACAGCATACTTTTTATTTTCGTTGCTCATATCGTATAATGTGGGAAATGTCCAATGTTGTAAAAACTGAAAATTAAAAGCAGCTAGTAAGTATTAGTGTGACTATTTCTTAAAGCTAAGAGCTCATTATAGATCCAGATTAATACAAATAATTACCATATCTCTATACTTTCTGTATCAAAATAATTATCGGTTACCTAAATTTTCATTTTCCTATTTTAATTGTATAAAAGAAAGCATAAAGTTTTCATATGTTAAAATATTATAAACTCACCTTTGCAATGTTATCATCCATTAATTCGATATCCGTTCAATACTTGTAGACTTCCAATATTTAATATTGAGGCAAAAGAAATACACAGTCTGTCCCAGATCCAATGAGACTGGTCTAAAAAAAATACAAAGCGTTTATTATTTTGATTTTTTATTCTTGTTTATTCAAAATAGTCTCCTTCTGAGTCAATACAGCGCTGGAAACGTTCAACAAATTTTTCGAAACATTTTTTATACTCATCGGCTGGAATGACCTTTAGTATGGCGGTCGAAGTCTTTTGGATGACCGGGATGGTATCGAAACGATTTCCTTTCATCGCCAATTTCAGTTTGGGAAATAGCCAGAAGTCGCACGGAGCCAAATCAGGTGAATACGGTGGATGATCGATAACAATGATGCCTTTTTTGGTCAAGAATTCACGTACCATGATGGCTTTGTGCGATGGTGCATTATCGTGCAACAAAAACCAACTGCCTGGCTCTCGATATTCCGGTCGAACTCGTCGAATTCTGGCCCACAATCGTTGTAGAACTCCCAGATAATATCTGGGCAGACACACAGCGGTCGCTTCGAAGAATTTCTTTGACTTTCTCGATGTTTTCTTCATTGCGAGTGGTTTTTGGCGGCGGTACTCGGTCATCGTCTGCAAGGTCCTCACGACCGTCACGGAATCGGCCAAACCAACGGAAAACCTGTGCACGGGACATGCATTCATCCCCGTACACATTTTGTAGCGTTTCGTACGTTTCTGCACCACTTTTACCCAATTTAAAAGTTGGTTTTTCAACCGACGTACACAAAGTGACTTTACATAAAATGTCAAACCACAGTGAAATATCAATCGAATTCGCTCAAATTTTGAGGTTAAGTAGATGAAAGGTAGAACATTCACCTACCATCATTCACTCATAGATATCGCTGCGCTAAGAACTTTGATGGAACCAGTTTCATCGTATCTGGGACAGACTGTGTATATACTCACGATATATAAATTTGACACATAATATAGAATGGGAAATAGAAATACATTTAACCAATATATATAACATCTAATTATCAGTAGCTTGTGGTATCATGATATAAGAGTCAATTTCATCAAAGTTTTTAATTTTTATATATTTCTGTTTTATTTATGTTACTGAAATTGTAATTATATCTGCAGTAGTAGTATTTGATATTAAAAATATTCCGAGTCTTTCTGAAGGGCATGGTATATCAAAAAAAGATGTTTCATTTAGAAAACGTTTTGCGCAAATATAACAGATAGAGTTGCCTTCAAATATATCCAAGATAAATATTAAAGATTTGTCATGAAGTATAACATAGTTATCGGGTTGATTAGTTCTAATTTAAAAATTCTTAAACTGGACATAAGAAATTGTATTATTTTTGTTGTAAACAACAATCGGATATTATTGTATTTTACATGACTGAATGAGAAGCTGTAATTCTTCATAAAGACGATTTGATAATTCCTCTAGAGGTGTTCCCGACTGTTCTAATTTCTTTTTTATTTTTTGCATATAATTCTCAAATTTTAAACAATTGAAGTTATTTAATGAACCGTAGTTTTGTACATCATTAGAAAAATGTAGCAAATTGTGAACATTATGCGACATATATTCCTCACCTCACCATAAATCTTTCCGTAATTGGATATAAAATATAATAGCAACGCATTCGCATAAGCATTAAATAGCACATATAATTGCTAATCACTTAATATCCTGAGAGCTACATGTAGAGAAAAAAAGTGATTATATTAGGTGCGCAACTAAGTTCTCGTTGTTTTTTTTTTATGAAAATGCAACTTTATTGTGAAAAAATGGTTACAAATGAATCATTCAAAATATTGCCCATCGCTAGCGACAACTTTTTCCCATCTTTCTGGCAGAGCTCGAATACTGTCACGGTAGAAGTGTTCGTCTTTTGAGGCTATCCACGAATCAAGCCATTTTGAGATGTCTTCATATGAGCGGAACTGCTGATTAACCAAACCATGTGCCATCGAACGGAACAAGTAATAATCGGACGGCGCAATATCTGGGGAATATGGCGGGTAGGGTAGGACTTCCCATTTGAGCGTTTCTAAGTAGGTTTTAACGGGTTTGGCAACGTGAGGCCGAGCGTTGTCATGCTGTAGAATCACTTTTTCGTGCCTCTGCTCGTATTGTGGCCGCTTTTCGCTCAGTGCTCGGCTCAATCGCATCAATTGAGTTCGATACCGTTCCCCAGTGATGGTTTCGTTCGGTTTCAACAGCTCATAATAAATAACACCGCCCTGGTCCCACCAAATATACAGCAAAACCTTCGCAGCGTGAATATTCGGCCGAGCCGACGACGTAGAAGCATGACCGGGCAGTCCCCATGATTTTGTTCTCTTTGGGTTGCTGTAATGAATCCATTTTTCATCACCCGTAACGATGCGATGAAGAAAACCCTTCCTTTTTTGCCGCTGGAGCAGTTGTTCACAGGCGAAAAAACGACGCTCAACGTCTCTTGGCTTCAAATCATAAGGAACCCAAGTTCCTTGTTTTTGAATCATTCCCAACGCATGCAATCGCTTGGAAATGGCTTGGCTGGTAACTCCTAATGCTGAAGCAAGCTCTTTTTGCGTTTGGCACGGATCCTCATCGAGCAATGCCTCCAATTCAGCGTCTTCGAAGGTTTTGGCCTTCCTTCACGCGAACGGTCGTCAACATCGAAATCACCGTCTTTGAAACGACGGAACCAATCACGGCACGTTGTTTCACTTAGAGCAGCATCTCCGTAAACTTTTTGGAGTTCTCGATGCGCTTCAGCCGCCGTTTTCTCGAATGAAAGAAGAAAAGCAACACTTCCCGCAAATGACGTTTATTTGGCACAAAATAAGACATTTTCACACAACCAAAAGTATATGACGCAAAAACAAAATCACTAATGTGTCAAAGCGGTTTGTTTACCATATGTCTAAGCTTGGTTCATGACGTTTTGGTTATGTCATAATCGATCAGCACTTACTACTAGAGCCATCTCTTGAAAAACAGCGGGAACTTAATTGCGCACCTAATAGCAATTTGTAGGTAATATGGATTTCATGACAACAATTCTTGTATAGAGCACGAATTGATTCTGTAGCCTTCCATTTATCAATGTGTTTTAAATCTCTTGGTTTTCTTGCAAATTCTGCTGGAATACAGGATTTCAATGCAATTAAACGACGTGAGACTGAATGTATAGCCTCTGGAGATAATCTAACACATCAATAAGTCCCGGGACTAATCAACAGATGGCGCCTCTAATAACAAATCCATACCATACTCAGTTAGTACCAACCTTTAGAAGTTACGTGTCAAACTTTCATGACATTCCGACATTGTGTCATTGAGTTACAGTGGTTTTAGTGACGCTACTTTTGCTATTTTCAAAATAATGGAAAAAACCGAATTTCGTGTGTTAATAAAACATTGCTTTTTAATGGGAAAAATACTGTTCAAACAAGTGATGGCTTGAAAAGTGTTATCCGGATCTGCTCCGTCGAAAACAACCATTTGTCGGTGGTTAAGATTTCCTCGAAATGGGTGCCGCGTTTGCTCAGA